CCCTTCCGCCGCCGCCGCCGAGGGGCGGGGTCTGGGCGGGACCAGCCCCCTGCGCGTCAGTGCGCAGCCGCGCCGTCGCCACGCCCCCCTCCGGCCAATGAGGAGGAGCCCTGAGGTCACGTGGGCCAAGGATATTTAAAGGGACGCGGCAGCACGTGGGACGCGGGGTGTTGGAGCTTCGCGGGACACGTGGGCTGTGGCGACAGCTCCAGCGGGGCCCCTCCGGTCACTGCCCGCGGGGGAGCCCTCAGGGCGCTTGGTGCAAAAGCTGTGGCACTTGCAATATGCTGCTCTAAACTCTGCCATGGCTCCCCAGTGCCCTTTGGGCAAAATCCAGCCTCCTCTGCAGCTGTGTGTTCAGACCCAGCGCCCTGTCCCCGGGTCCCTGTGCTGCGACCAAGCCAGTTTTTGACATTTCCCGTAATCTGCTAGTCCTCACTGGGCCCTTGGTCCTTGTTTTCCTTCTGCTGAAATGTTCTTCCCTTGAGAAATTTCCCTAATCATCTTCGCGGTTTCTGCTCTAATGGCCTGGGCTGAGGGAAGCCCTCTCCTGGCCATGCCACCAGCCACCCCGAGCACCTCGGTCTCACCCGTCTCCACTCTCTCCAGATGGGACTCCAGGGCGCCTCCTGGTCGCTGTGTACTGGCTGGGTACAGGAAGGCGTGCGGGAGCCGCGTCACCCAATTACTGTGGCCACAGGAGGAAGCCAGCTGTGCCCCAGCACCTCCGCTCGCTTCTGAAAATGGGGCGCGGCCAGGGATCGTGTAGAGGCGAGGTGTGAGCCTGTGCGGGCCTGGACCGTGGGTGCTTGAAAATGAACTAGAAAGCAGAGAGAGAAGGGTAACTAAGGGGGCAGTGCTACTGCTTGGCAGGGGCTGCAAATCGCCACAGGAGACTGCAGGTCCTGTCCTTGCGTGTCAAGCATGTGCAAGGTTTATTTCCCCGAGTTACAGAATTTGGGGCCTGGGGCCCAGGGGTGGATGAGGGCAGCCCTGGTGTGAGCGCCTTAGCAAGCGCAGGGCCCTGGGTCCAGGCCCCGCCCTGCCGGGGACAGAGCGGGGGAAGGAGGCAGAGGGGAGAAAGCAAGAGTGCCCGGGGTGTGCACACTGATATCTGTGCTGGAGCTCGGGGCTTTTTTTCCCCTTCAAAATCGTTGATTCATTCATTCCGGGCCAAAGATGCAGATAAACAAAAAGCACTAACCCAGGGAAGATAAGGCGGAAGTCATAAACAGGAGAAGAGAGGGGAGAATGAATAATTTAACAAGGAGCCTAAATTAAGCTCGGAGTCTCCTAGCGGCCAGCGCAGCGGCCAGGTTCGCAATGCCCGCTTGGTCTCGTTCCCGGCCGGTGACCCTGACCTGGTCCGGACGAGCCGGCCTCCGTTTTGCCGTCTACGCAATGGGCACGCAGCCCATCTTCTGCAGCCTCCCCCGGGCCATCTGTGCCGAGCATGGTCCCTCATACACAGCAGGTGCTTGACCTTGTGAGCTCCGCAGATGTACAATCAAAGGCGCCCGGGCTCTGCCACCTGTCAGAGGGACAAACGCCCCACTCAGGGCCCTGCTGTCTGTCCCCGGCCACAGAAGAGATAACTGCTCCTGCCTCCTAGGGTTCTGGGGAGCAGCGAAGGGAAACGGATGTGAGATATAGTGTAGCGGGTGCCCGGGGGCATCCACCCAGCCCATCCATTCGGCCCGGTGCCGAGAGTCTTTAAGTGCTTTGGACGCAGAAGCAAACAAAATAGTCTTTAAAAATCGCTGCAGTTAACAGTGCTATGGAGAAGACAGACAATGCCTCACTCTGGTAAAAGCCTGCTATCCCTGCAGCCCGAAGGGCCCTGCGCAGCCCGCCTGCCCCTCCCCTCCACCTTCTCTGCTCCACCTGCTCCAGCCACTTGGAGCAACCCCTGCACTGCACGAGCTCCGTCCTGCCCCAGGGCCTTTGCACAGTCATGCCCTCTACCTAAAATCCAGGCCCACCCTTGTCCTTTGACACCTTCTCTGACCACCTTGCTAAAGTGGCCCCACTTACTCAGTCTTTCTCAGTACTAGGGAATGGTTTCACTGGGGGGCCTCTTTGCTTGTTTCCTCTCTGTCTCCCCACTCCAGCCATGCCTCAGTTTACCTGCCTGTGAAGGAGAGGAATAAGCCCTGTCCCTTAGGGCTGGTGGGTGGATGGGATGAATTACATCAATGCTGTCACCTGACACTGAGTGCGGATTCATGAAAGGGTTACACCACAGAGGTGACCTCTGTCTGTGGGAAACCAGGGTGCCTAGATGACCAGAAAAATAAATCCTACCAGGGCTGGGGTGTGGCCCACCCATGAGTGCTTCCCGAGCAGTCATGAGGCCCAAGGTCCCATTCTGAGAACTGAAAAAAATAAAAGGAGCAACAGCCAGGCATGGGGAGGGGCGTGTCTGGAATCCCAGCACTCAGGAGGCTGAGGCAGGAGGATCAATACAAATTTGGGGTCAGCCTGGGCTCCGTAAGGAGTTCAAGGCCAGCCTGAACTACACAGTGAGACCCTGTCTCCAGAAACAGACAAAACCCACCTAAGCAGGGTTAGGGTTATGGTGGGAAGCTGAGGCAAGAGGATTTGAAGATTGAGCACAAGCAGGACTGTTTAGCCACTTAGTGAGACCCTGCTTCAAAATAGAAAGGGCTGGGGAATATGGCTCGGTGTGCGGCCGGGCGTGGGGGCGCACGCCTGTCATCCAAGCACTCGGGAGGCTGAGGCAGGAGGATCACCGCACCACCCTGGGCTACAAAGTGAGCTCAAGGCCAGCCTGAACTGCAGAGTGAGACACTGTCTCAAAAAGACAAAAAGAGAGAGGAAGCGCCTGAGCTCCCTCCAAAATACCGGAGAAAGAACGCACTGTCTGTGCTAGCAGCCACGATTGCAGCCTGCGGAGGGTTGGCAGTTGTGGGCCAGGGTAGGTGCAAGGGGCAGCAGAAGGCCAGGACTCCCAGCAGCGCAGCTCCCAGGGCGGAGGGAATGCTGTGTCCCGCCCCCCGCACCGCCCCCGGGGTGGCAGAGGCCTCAAAGTCCGCTCCGTGGGAGGCGGCGCCTGGCCTCCGGCTGCATGGCTCTTGGGGTGAGGAGTTCAGTCCCCCCGCAGCTGGACGGGAGCCCTCGCTCCGCCCGCCTCTCTGCACACCTCAGCCTTCAGCTCCCCAACCTGGTAATTAGCTCCCTTGTGTCCTTGCGCCGATTCCAGGAGAGCCGTCTGGCCCGGCGCGTGAGCCAGATTCTCCGCGCCAACCGCAGGGCCTCGGGCGAGGCTGCGTGGACCCCAGCGGCTCTGCCCCACGCTACCTTGCTCACCGCCGCGCTCTGCAGGTTGAACACTGGGCGCCCTCCTGCCCCCTCGTCCTTTCCCGCTCACCTAGAATTCACTCTGGACGTCGGAGAGAAGCACCTGGTCCCGGCCAGCCTGATCTGGGGTTCCTTTGGGGGCCCGTGAAGGCAGCCGATTGAGTAACTGCAGGGCTCAAATCAAAGAGACCTGGGTTCAGATTCTGACAGTGGTGTTTGCATAATTCAACGTCCCTTCCTGATAAAGCATTCAAACAAGCCGGGCACAGTGGTGCACACTTGCCGTCACAGCTGCTCAGGAGGCTGAGGCAGGACGATCACCACGAGTTTGAGGCCAGCCTGAGCTGCATAGGGAGACCCTGTCTCCAAAACAAAAAAAGAGAAAGAGCAACAAACAAAAACTCAAACAAGAGGGCTGAGGATGTAGTTTGGTGTGAAGGCCCTGGGTTCCATCCCCAGTACTGAGGCAGGGGAAGAGGGTACTCAGTGCACCAGGGGTACAAAGCAAGTTTGAAAGGCGTCTATAGCTGAGCTCAGACTTAGGGCTGGAGATGGAACACTTGCCCTGGAAGATCCGGAACGAGAACAGGAATCTCACTACTAACATTCAACACCCTGCTGGACAGCCCAGCCGGACACCCAGGCACGAAAAGGAAATAAAACTATTGTCCTTGGAAAAGAAGTTAAATGATCTCTATTGGCACATAACGTTACTTTGTATAAAGAAAATCCTGCGAGGCTTAGTGGCGCACGCCTGTAATCCCAGCACTCGGGAGGCTGAGGCAGGAGGATCGTTGTGAGTTCGAGACCAGCCTGGGCTACAAAGTGAGCTCAAGGCCAGCCTGAACTGCATAGCAAGACCTTGTCTCAAAAAGACAAAAAGAAAATCCTAAGGGAATCATGAAAAAAATTATTAAAACTAACAAATTAATTTTGCAAGCCTGGAGGATATGAAATCAATATGCAAAAAAAAAAAAAAAAAGCTGCTCTTCTTTCCTGTTGCAGGAGTGAGCAAATTAAGAAACCAATTCCATTTACAATTCATCAAAAAGAATAAAATAGTTGGGGGATATACTTAACAGAAAGACTTGCAATATATATATTATAAAACCACAAAACATTATTGAGAGAAGTGAGTGATGACCTGAATGAATGGAAAGGCATTCCATGTTCATGGACAGGAAAAATAATATTATTAAAACAGTGATACCACCCAAATTGATTTGCAGATTCAATCCAATTCCTATCAAAGTCCTAACTCGCTTTTTTTGTAGATCCTAAAATTCAAATGGAAGTTCAGGGGACTAGGAAGCAGAAAAATACCAGTCTTGAAAAAAGGACATGCTGGGCATGGTGGTGCATGCCTGTAATCCCAGCACTTGGGAGGCTGAGGCAGGAGGATCATTTCAAGTTAAAGACCAGCCTGCGCTACAGAGTGAGCTCAAGGCCAGACTGAACTGCAGATCGAGACCCTGTCTCAAAAAGGACAGAAAAGAAAGAAACAAAGACAAAGTTATAGGACTCACAGTTTTAAACCAAGACGATAACACAAGAAAAAAAAGATAGATCAAAGGAATAGCATTAAGAGCCCAGAATAAATCTTACATCTTCAGTGAATTAATTTCTATAAAGGTAGTTGGGTGAGGTGACAGTATCTGTACTTCCAGCACTTGGGAAGTGGAGGCAGGAGGATCGTTGTGAGTTTGAGGCCAGCCTGAATTACTTAAAGAGACTCTGTCTCAAAAAAAGAAAAATTCATAAGGTTGCAAATTTGGTATGGATATAAAAATCTTTCAAGAAATGATTTTGGAGAAACTGTGTGGGGTTTTTTTGGTCCTGGGAATTGAACTCAGGACCTTCTGGTTGCCAAGCAGGGGCTTGTGACACTGAGCTATATCCCTGGCCCTTCAAGAAATGATTTTGGAGTCTGGTATGGTGGTGCACGCCTGTAATCCCAGCACTCAGGAGGCTGAGGCAGGAGGATCATTGCAAGTTTGAGGCCAGCCTGGGCTACAGAGTGAGCTCAAGACTGCATAGTAAAGGGGCTGGGGATATAGCTCAGTGGCACAGGCACCTGCCTAGCAAGGACAAGGTCCTGAGTTCAATTCCCAGTACAAAAAAAAAAAGGAAAGACTGCATAGTGAGACCCTGTCTCAAAAACAAAAAAAAAAAACAAACAAACAAAAAAAAGATTCTGGGACCACTGTATATCTATATACAAAAGAGTGAAGTTGGATCCCTACCTCACACCATATATAAAAATTAACTCAATATGGATCATGGACGTAAATGAAAGTGCTAAAACTATAACTGTCTTGGGGAGGTGAGAATCCCATAGACATAGATCACTGTAATCATGAATCAGGTAGAAAGGTATTCTCCTCTGTTTGTTTGTTTTTGGAGTTTCTTTTGAGTTGATTAAAATGTTCTAAAATTAGACTGTAAATGAGCACTGTGATGGTAGCCTGTGAAATGCTGAAAAAATATGGAATTATACATTTCAAATGAATGCCCTTTGTGGAGGGTGAATTGTGTCTCTGTAAAGCTGTTGTCATTTTAAAACCTGGGCTAGGTCACCTCTGCACTGCATGGCCATGAGCAAGCTGTAAACATCCTCTGTGTGAGTCTCTATGCCTTCGCCCTGAAATCAGGTGTAACTAAACTACTCAGTCTGACTTTCTGTGGGGACTGACAGAGCCACAGCACCAGGAATGATATTGGAAAGGGATGGGGGTAAAGTATCTGAATCTTATCAAAAACAAGGGGACTGACTAAATTGACTAAGTCATAACAGCACTGTGGAATATTATGCAGCTGTGAACAAGGATCACTTGTATGGACTCTAGGGGGAAAGATTTCTGGGATTCTTTGTCCAGACAAAAACAAGTGAAGGGTGCTACTTATCACATTCTGCCTATTACCGACATATTCAGTTTATCCTCCATTATTTTAATATATGCAAATGCATATGTTTGCATATGTATAAACCCATGTCATCTTCACCACAAGTATTTTATAAAACAAAAAATGTGTGAACAGACCTCTTCTGGTCACCCCAGCCACAGAGGTTCCCTCTGCCCTGCCGTTATCCACCAAAGGACAACGGCTTTGCAGTTTTCAGGACTCCGTATAACGGGAGTCGCGTGGAAGGAGCGCCTTGAGCCTTGTTTCACTTGCTCAGCACAACACACCGATTCACCCACTGTCACAGGGCTGTGACTCCCGTCCTCTTCCAGTGGGACAGCCTCCCGTGTCGGATGGGTTGTGCCTCCAGGGATGGACGTGGGGCTTGTTTCTAGTTTGGAGGGGATTCTGAGTAATGGTGCTGTAAACATTTGAGTTCTGGCCTTTTTGTGATGGGTCATTTAAGGAAAAAAAATTTCCAGCCCTGGGGATGAAACCCAGGGCCTTCTCACTCAGCTCCATCCCCAGCCATTTTCAATTTTTCTTTTGAGACAGGGTCTCACTAAAGCACTAAGTTGCCCAGGTTGAGCTCGAACTTGTGATCCTCCTGCCTCAGCCTCCCACAGTGCCAGGATGACAGGTGTGTGCCACCACGACTGACTTAAATTTTCCCTTCTTTTTTGGTCTTTTTGAGATAGGGTCTTGCTATACAGTTCAGGCTGGCCTTGAGCTCACTTTGTAGCCCAGGCTGGTCTTGAACTCATAACAATCCTCCTGCCTCAGCCTCCCGAGTGCTGGGATTACAGGCATGCGCCACCACAACCAACATTAAATTTACCCTTTTAGTAAAGAAATAGTCATTTTGGATTAGGATCGCCTCCACTGTCCTGACTCGTGTTAACTTGCTAAACTGAGCAGACCTTGTCTGCAAATAAGGCCCTGTTCTGGGGTCCTGGGGGTCAGGACTTGGACATAACTCTTTTGAGGGACACGATTCATGCCACAATAGGCTCTCCCCGAAGGTGGCTTGGCTGATCTCTGTCAGGGGCCACAGCTGCTCTTGCATAATTAAAGGGCTCCAGTCCCCAAGACACAACGCCGGACATGCGGGCCCCTGGCTCACACACTGTGATCCCCACGGCCATCCCAAGCTCCACCTAGGTTCTGATGGAGGTCAGGGCCCAGCTCGGGGTGTGGCTGGCATGGGGAGGAACCCCGGGGACCCGGTGACAAATGCAAAGCAGGCCCCTGTCATCTCTGGTGGCCGTGGGTGCAGGGGGCCTCTGGGTCTCTCCATGCTCAGTGACGGAAGCCCGATCAGTTGCCAGCAGGGGCTGGGATGGTGTGGGGTGTGGGGTGCGGGGCCCAGGGCTGAGGGACACCTCAGCCTTGCCCTGGGACCCGCAAGCCAAGGACCTGCCGTTGCCACCAGCACTGAGGGCCCCAGCTTGGTGCCTGGATCTCGGGGAGGCCACAGGGTGACACTGAGGCGTTACTGTCGCTGAAGCTGTGGACAAGGTATGATCAGAAAATGCGCTGTGTCTAAATGTTTTAAAATGTGTTACAGGGCCGGGGATGTAGCTCAGCGGCACGAGCGCCTGCCTGGCAAGCGCAAGTCCTGAGTTCGATTCCCGGTACCAAAAAAAGAAGTTAATAATAAAGTAAAATAAAATGCGTTACAGTAAAGCTGCGTTGCTATGAACCCCTCTCACGCTCCCCCCTACTCTGAACACACAGACCCCATTATTCCCACAGCTGTCTGCAGCCGCTCTGGAGTCCTCTTTCATGAGTGTCTTTAGCTGCGCTGTCCCGGTTACTTCGGTGGCTTGAATCAATTTAAAACATTCCCCCCTCATGGTCGCTTTGATCTGGGGCAAGAACCAGAAGTCAAACGGTGCCAGGTCTGGAGACTAAGGCGGAGGAGGACACGGGCATGTGGTTCCGAGCTGCCTTTCCGCTGGGTGGAGCTCGGCAGCAGCAGTCACCGTACTTTCTATCACCGCCCATGAAGACACGAGGGAAAGAGAACTCCAGAGCTGCTGCACAAAGAGGCCAGAACCGGGGGAAGACGTGTGTGAAACGAGGGGAGAGGTGGGGGATTTGGGGAACATGTCTTTTACTGTGATACATTTTTTAGTTTAAACTGTAATTTTCGGTCACCCCTATTTCTCGATGTCTTCACCAGGAAAAGGGGTAGGGAGGCTCTGGGTGTGACCGCCTGCTCTCCCACATGCACTCAACGTTTCCCCCAGGGACAGAGATGGCCGGGTTGGAGGTTCAGAGGGAACCTAGCTGGATTTCTTAAGTGAATCTTGAAAGCTTGTTAATCGCACGGCTACCTCTTGTTTTTCTTTGTAAACGTTTGTCTTTCTTAGTGCTTAATGTACTACAGTGTTACGTGTTTTTTTGTATTCGTTCAATTCATGCTTGCATCCAGCAGAAGGCGGCATCCCAGCACTGTGGGAGGCTGAGGCAGGAGGATTCCAAATTCAGGCCTGACCTGGACAACTTACAGAGACTGTGTCTCAAAGTAAAACTAAAAAGGGCTGAAGATGTAGCTCGGTTTGAAGGCCCTAGGTTCAATCCCCAGTATGGGGGTAAAAAAAAACCCAAATACCTTGTAAATACAATCCTCAGTGTCACCGAAGGTAGGTAGAGACCAGAGTGGCTGGCTGGTGAGGGCTGAAGTCTGAGGACAGGTTGAGGGCCTTCTTGAAGCTTAGACAGGCAGGGACCCACCCAATCCCCTGTCTGCTGGGGGGACCACTTCCGTGTCCCATGAGCACTTTACAATTAGGTTAACTCTCCTCATTTGCATTCCATGCCCAGATGCATCTTGGGAATAGCACAGTTGGGGAGGGAGGAGGGAATCTTGGCCCCTGGCAAAGTAGGTAGAGAGCAATAAGCTTATTATGGGGTCAGAACTAGACAACCTCAAGCCAGAGGACAAAGATTGGTGTCAGGCGCTGGTCGTGCTAACTGTGTTGGGTCAGTCACACTTACATCTTAGCAAAGCAAGCTAGCTGTGATGCTAACCTCAGTTTCCCTAGTTTTCCTAGCTGTAGTCTGGTTGTGTTCCATGTCATCTTGAGAACTGAGTGGGCAATAACCTTGCTCTAAACCACTGTGTGTCAGCCTGCAAGTCAGTCAACAAACCCCTCCACCAATGCATTTAGTCTAACATAGTTCTTAGGGAAGTACCAGGCACGTAGTGGGGCCTTCATAAGTACTTGGCACATAGTAGATATACTTAGTTCATGTAACATCTCCAGAAGAACAGACCAGAGCCTCAGATAGAGGATGTGACTTGGCCAAGGGCTAAGCCCCACCATATCGTCAAACCAGGTGCTGAGGGCTGAGTACCTCATGCAGCTGAGCTAAGTGCTGAGGGTTGAGTACCCCCAATTGCCCCAAGGCAGAGCTGGGCTTCCGCTGCGTCCGCGCGCCCAGCAGGCACTGATTCAGTACCTGCCAGGCTCTGTTCTAAGCAGTGAGGCCACGCACGGAACAAAACAGCTGGAACTCCTGGCCCGTGCTGGGCTGAGGTTTTCTCCCAGTACTGGGATTGAACCCAGGTTTTTGCACTGCACTGCATCCCCTGCCCTTTTTAACTTTTATTTTGAGATAGGATTTCATTAACTTCCCCAAGCTGGCCTTGAACTTTCAATCCTCCTGCCTCAGCCTCCCAGAGTGCTGGGATGATGTTTTAACATGAGACATAGATGTGACACAGACGAGTAAGTTCACAGTGACTCCAGTGGTGAGCGATGCCAGTGAGAAAAAGGAAGCGTTGAGGATGCAATTATAGATAGATGGTCAGGGATGCAGGTGGAGGGGTGGCCGTGCAAAGGCCCTGGGGCAGCATAGAGCTGCATGGTGCAGGAGCAGTGAGGCGCCTGGGTGCCTGGAGCAGAGGTAGGAGGGGTGGAGTGGGAGCAGGGAAGGTGGGGAGGGGATGAGCGGGCTGTGCAGGGCCCTGCAGGCTGCAGGAGGACTTGGGCTTTGGCCCAGGGAGGTGGGAGCCCAGGAGGGCTGAGGATGGAGGAGGGCTCCATACTCACCGGCGCCTTCTGGTGGCTGCGGGGCGGACAACAGGAGCCGGAGCAGAGCCAAGAGCACTAGGGGCCCCGAGCTCCAGGGACCTCGAGCTTCCTGACCAGCTGACGCGTGGCTCAGTGTCCCACCCCGCACTTCCCCGTAGCCGCGGAGCATTGAACCCGGTCTCTGAGGCAAGGAGGTGACGTCAGAGCCGCCCGACCCCACGCACAGCGCGCCCGGGGCTCCGACTCCTGCAGGCGGTGAGGCCCAGGGAAGCTGAGGACCTGCCCGGGGCCACACAGCGCAGCCAGGACCCGGGTTTGGGAGGAGCGGGGCCTGCATGCCGAGTTGCTCAGGGCGGAGCCCTCGCTCCGTGCAGCCTGGCCTTGCACGCTTCTGGCGACGGGCGCCTCACTCCCTGCCTGTGGCGCTGCGTGCGTTTGCCCCGCGTCCTCCTCTCACGCCTGTTGTCCTCTCTTCCCCGCAGCCCCATGCTTGGGGCCGAGGTCTCCTCTTTGCCAGCTGCTCAAAAAATGTCCCTTGCCCTCCCTCCTCTCCTCCTCCTTCTTGGTTGCCCCCTCCACACACCATGAAGCTCTCAGCTGTCCCTCTGGGGACTGGAACACAGTCAAACTAATGAATGTCTAAGCTGGGAGCAGACGCACACCACTTGGCAGCACGGTGGCCCTGGGACTGTCATGGTGTCACTAACATCATTAACTATTCCAGGCGATTATGTCTCTACCCACCTCACATCTGTGTTCTGTACCTGGAGATTTTACGTCAGCATTGTTATCTCAGCCTAACAGTGCCTGGTATACCTAAAGTGCTCAGCGAGTGCTTGTGCCTGACAAAATGAATATGTGATGTGCTCTATTCTTCCTTTCTCTCTTTTTTTGTCTTTCTTTCTTTTTTAATTTTTTTGTTTTGTTTTGTTTTGTTTTTTGGTGTTTCTCCGGTACCAGGAACCGAACTCACGACCTTGCACTTGCCAGGCAGGTGCTTTGCCGCTGAGCTAAATCCCCAGCCCCTCTTTTTTAATTTTTGAGATAACGTCGCACTATACATTTCAGGCTGATGGCTTTGAACTCACTATGTAGCCCAGGCTGGCCTTGAACTTGGAGCGATCCTCCTGCCTCAGCCTCCTGAGTGCTGGGATGACAGATGTGCATCACCACACCTGGCTTGAATGCTTTTTTTTATGCTTTAGTTAGTCCATTTTTTTTTTAACTGAACACCCTCCTCTTAGTGAGGTGCAAACACAGAAAGTGGTAAATCACCTCCTTTTTTTTGCTGTCTGTACCCTTGTTGATTTGGTCAAATCCCCCCCAATTCTTTTTTTCTACTGTTCTCTTTTGGGAGAGGAAAATGTTAAAATGTGTCAATGTAGTCAGAAATGCTTTGAGCCTAGAGACAATCCAGCCTTGAGAATCAAGTGATGGCGGAAGAGCTAAAAAAAAAAAAAAAAAATACGTTCTCATTTATGAGGAGGAGAAAAAAAGATGCCATTTCAATAAGCCTGGGCCGTTCAGGCCGGATGTAAAGATAGCTACTTCCTGTCCTCGAGGTGCGGGCTTGGCCTGCAGCTGTGCGCTCCGGCCTGGGAGCGGCTGGGGCAGGCGACACAAAGAGGCGGTGATTGCGCCTGCGGGAGCTGTGCAGGGCGGTGGAGGTCACACGAGCTGCACCACAGGGACGAGTCCTTGGGGCCCTTCCGGGACACGGTCGCGGGCCCTGCTCTGCCAGAGGGTCTCACTGCTCCCGCCTGGCTCAGGTCGTACACAAATCTCTGTTCTCCCCGAAGCAAATGTCCGGGGACCCCGGCTCCACACGCGTGACCCAAGAGCCCCCCACCCCGGCCTCAGTTTCCCTGTCTGCCAATACAGGCACTATTTTCTTTCATTTTATTTTTGGTGCTGGGGGTGGAACCCGAGGGCTTCGCGCTGAGCTCCGTCCCCGGCCCTTTTCACTTTTTATTTTGAGACGGGGTCTCGCTAAGGCACTAAGCAGCTGCACACGGTGGGCTTGACCTTGGCGATACTCCTGCCTCAGCCTCCCAGAGTGCTGGGATCACGGTCTGTGCCGCTGCCTGGCTGCGGATGCTGTTAACCCTCTGCGTGCTGATAAGGCTGTGACGGCGCTGTTATCAGAGTTCTGGCTGTTTCTGTTGCTGTTTTCACACCCACCTTCTGGGGGGGTTCACTCTGCTCCCCTTTAACATGGGGTCCCCTGCTCACCCTTCACGTGACCCAGCTTCTTCTGTCTTCACAGATGGCGGCTGCTGGAGCATGGCCATGCGCCTGTCTCCTGGGGGAGGGACAGACGAGCAGAGCAACGGGGACGATCACCGCAGACTGTGACAGCTGCTACAACGCAATAAAAACAAAGGCCCGGTGTGGGGGCATGCGCCTGTCATCCCTGCTCTCTGGGAGGCTGAGGCAGGAGGATGGCAAGTTCCAGCCCAGCCTGGGCAATTTAGCCACTTACTGAGATCTTGTCTCAAAATAAAAAAACAGAAAGGGCTAGGGATTGATCTCAGCACAGAGGCCCCGGGATCCATCCCTAGCACCAGAAAAGGGAGGGAGGATTCTGGGCCCTTGTCTCAGTTCCAAAGGGCAAAGGGTGCTGCACTCAGGTAGTGATGCCTGGCCCTGGCTGCAGACTGAGTCCTGTTACGGATTAGTGATGTCTGTCCAGGCAGCTGTTTGGAGATCCGTCCGAGTGTTGCACATCTGCCCCCTCCGGGTTTTGGGGCGGCTGCTGCGCAGAGATAACCCTCTGCATCCTCCTAGAGAGGCCGCGGGACTGACACTTCCTGGACCAGGACAGACAGGGCCCTGAGGGCCGCTGCACAGCGTCCCCCCGTGTGACTCTGGGTGTCACTGACCCCAGCAGAGGCTGTGTGACCCGCCCATCCTGCCCGCCCTCCGCTGGGCCCCCGGCTCTTCCCAGCCCCGGCC